TACGCAGAGAAAAGAATGCCATGGAATATGCTGCCACACAGACAAAATGGAACAAAAGTTCTGATTAACCTCCGTCACTCTCTTTAATAAAACCAACACCATACAATGTACTGACATAGCTGTTTTGACTAGTTGGAACAGTGCAAACATCTTGGTAGGAAAAATCAACAGGTGTCTGTTTAGCACTGATAAAACAGCTAGCACAAATATGGGAAAAAGACCTATCAAATTTAAATGCCAAATGTGTTGGCAACTGATCTAGGTTCACATACTCAATCCACATTAGTCTTCCAGAACAGGTGATCTATGCTGTTTCAATGATAATTTGGTATCTTCTAGTCACTCACTCTACCAGTAAAACATCTCTAAGCCAAGAACAGGTTGTAATGTACCTGCCCAGACAGGCTATGACTTTTACACTAAGTCTCCTGTCAGATTCATTATTACTTTAGGATTGGGTTCAAGTCCTTAACTTGGCCTCTCCTTCCAACAATGAAGGGCCTGGAAGACTCAGGTAATTTGGATTTTGGCCAGACGCAGAGGCTCACGCCTGTAATCCCAACACTTTGGGAGGATGACGTGGACAGATTGCTTGAGCCCAGGAGTTCATGACCAGCCTGGGCAACATGGTAAAACTTGGCTCTACGAAAAACACAAAAATTAGCCAGAGCTGGGCACGGTGGCTCACACCTGTAATCTCAGAACTTTGGGAGGCTGAGTAGGGGGCGGATCACTTGAGGTCAAGAGTTTAAGACCAGCCTGGCCAACATGGCAAAATCCCCTTCTCTAGTAAAAATACAAAAATTAGCTGGGCATGGTGGCATGTGCCTGTCATCCCAGCTACTTAGGAGGCTGAGGCAGGAGAATTGTCTAAACCTGGGAGGCAGAGGCTGCAGTGAGCCAAGACCATGCCACTGCACTCCAGCCAGGGCAACAGATGGAGACCCTGTCTCAAAAATAAATAAATAAATAAAGTGATTTTTTTTTTCTCCTGTGCCCAGGTTCTAGACACACACACACACACACACACACACACACACACCCCGATCAAAGCTTTTTTTCCCCCCACAAGTTTGCGCCACCACACTCAGTTAATTTTTTTGTGTGTTTTTAGTAGACACAGAGTTTCACCATGTTGGCCAGGCTGGTCTCGAACTCCTGACCTCAAATGATTTGCCCGTCTCAGCCTCCCAAAGTGCTGGGATTACAGGTATGAGCCACCACACTCAGCCAGATCAAAGCTTTTCAATTTCAGTTTCAAAAACTAAAGCAAGGAGAGAAAACAAAAATGATAGCTACTATCATTGTAACTATCATTATTGTAATAGCTAATATTATTGTGTACCTCCTAACCAATTATTATGTATTATCTCATTTAATCCTCATAACAGCCCCATGGGGCAGATACTCTGTCCCTATTTTAGAGATGAGGAGACCGATGCACTGAGAAGTTAATTAAATCCCATAAGATCACATAGCTAGAAAGTAGAGCTGGGATTTGAACCTAGGCAGTCGGATTTCAGAGCCTGCATTTTTTTTTTTTTTTTTTGAGACGGACCCTCGCTCTGTTGCCCAGGGCTGGGGCGTAGTGAGGCAATCTCAGTTCACTGCAACCTCCGCCTCCCAGGTTCAAGAGATTCTTGGGCATCAGTCTCCTGAGTAGCTGGGACTACAGGGGCACACCACCATGCCCAGCTAACTTGTATTTTCAGTAGAGATGGGAGTTTCACCACGTTGGCCAGGCTGGTCTTGAACTCCTGGCCTCAAGTGATCTACTCTCCTCAGCCTTCCAAAATTCCGGGATTACAGACCACCACACCCGCCAAAGCCTGCATTCTTAACAACAATGGTACAGATTGCCTCTTATCTTCTAGGCATCAACACAATGACCATTTGATGTGCTAAGTACACAGGGCTCATGTGAATAACTCAGAGAACTTAAAAAGATGTTTAGTTCCACCAAGTTACCACATGAGCCAGCAATTCCACTCCTATTTATCAGCAGAAGAATAGAAAATATATATCCAAACAAAAACCTGTGCATAAATGTTCATAAAAGCATTATTCACAATAGCCCAAAAGTGAAAACAATTCAAATGTCCATCAACCGATGAATGAACAAAATGTGATATATCTACACCATAGAACACTATTCAGCTATAAAATAAAATGAAGTACTGACACATACTACAGCGTGGACAAGCCTGAAATCACTGTGCTTAATAAAAGAAGCCACTCACAAAAGGCCTCATATCATATTACTCCATATATATAAAATGTCCAAAAGAGGTAAATCCACAGAAACAGAAAGTACATTAGTAGTTACCAGGGTCTGGAGTGGGGTGGATGGGGAGTGACTGTAAACAGGTATGTAGTTTCTTTTCGGGATGATGAAAATGTTTTGAAATTAGTGGCGATAGTTGCACAAAACCATCTGTACTATAAATGAATATACTAAATACCACTGAAATGTACACTTTAAAAGAATGAATTTCATGGTATATTAATATCTCAATAAAGCTGTTATTTTTAAAAAGAATGTTTCATTCATTTGTAACTTGTTATTTTATGTAATAAAATTTTTATTTGTTGTCACTAAGGTTGTTGGATCATGATCAGACAGAAAGAATCTTGTCATCGCTTTGATTTTTCACCTTTCAATTTGCAATGAAGAGTAAAGCAGTTTCATTTCCAAGTTGTCATGCGTCTAGTACAGTCATTTGTGTCATTTCCCCACCCAGGAGAAAGTTTTTCTTCCCTAAGACCGAAAGAGTACAGATGCAAAAGTTCTATTCTTGAGAAAATGCTCTAATATTTTCTTTAAATCAAAGCACCTTTCTATCTAAAAGAACCTTAGTTTTCTCCCACGACCAGAGGCTTGTGGGCTTTACTGCTAAAAGCACACAGCTGAAAAATATTTCTCTTTACCAAGTAAGGTACTAAAAATTATTATGAATTGTGACAATATTTGAATATCTTAAAACAAACAAGGAAGACAATGAGCTGGGGTAAGGATCTGAGTAACATTCTTTTAAATGTTTACTTGCTCTAATAATGACAGTAATATTAATAACTACTGTCTTCTGAGCAACTATAATGTGCTAAATAAACACTGTCCTAGGTTCTTTACAAATAGGGTATTTCACTTAGTCCCCACAGTAACTCTGAGGAAGGTATTTTTATTTCTCATTTCATAGATAAGGAAACTGAGGCCTAGATAGATTATTTGTCTTGGTCACACACACAGGAGAGCCCAAATAGTAACCCAAGTCTTTCTGAACTCAAAAGTTCTCTATTTCTCTATATTCTTCGAAATGAAAAGGGAATCCAGAAGCTTGAAGAAACTGAAAAGACTTCTCTTCCTATCTCAGAAAAGTAGTGCCTTAAAAAAGTTGACTGTTCTTATAGTCAAATACAGGAAATACAGGAAAAAAAGATTGTTAATAGCAACCACCAGTCAGAAGGCACAGAAGCCCATGCCATGTCCCACATCTCTTGCACTGCTTCCTGATACAACTGTCTTCCTATTGATTCTGATTATAATCTTAGGATGTCAAAATTTAATGATCTCACTATGGAAAACCCCGGAGAATAGCAGTTAGCACAACTAGAGAGCTCACTAAACCAGGAAGGAAAAGGAATCAGTTGGCAGGAAGTGGTGCTTACCTAAAAACACAGAACATCTTTAACAGTTATATCGACACCGCAAGTCCGCAGCACTTTAATCTGAAGTTATCTTTCTATTATTTAATAAGTATTACTAAAAGCTGATTTCCACCTATTTTCCATATGTCTACTAGGATCCTTAATAAAACAAGACTCTTGGTGGGGCATGGTGGCTAACGCCCACAATCCCAAAACTTTGGGAGGCCAAGGCAAGAGGATCACTTGAGGCGAGGAGTTACAGACCAGCCCAAACATAGTCAGACCTTATTTCTATTTCATTGGGGGGGGGAAAAAAAAAGTAAGGCTCTAACTTAGCCACTATTGACCCTCATCTCCCTCTTGCTTAAAAAAAAAAAAAAAGTCACGAGTTCAAAAGATCATCCCAGAAAGAAAAAACCTGAATCCATTAGAAAAGGTAGCACGTGGGGCACAACCAAACATGAATTTCATCACCAAGTAGACTGTGGCTGGCAGAAATCTTAGATTCACGACTGAAATACACACTCTTCCTTATACTTCTCAGGACTTTGCCCAAAATAAACTGAAACAGTAAACCAACAGTAGACTGATGAATGGATAATTTGCCAAAAGTCTCAACATACACCACAAAGAGGGTGGGAGTAGTCTTAGGAGGTCTGCTCTCCAGCTAAACAACTGAAGAATGAAAGAATTTAGTGCATTTGCACAAGAAGTGCATTACAATACAGGGGAGGAAGAAGTCACTTGGGGTTGGACAAATCCTTAGAAAATGCCAAAGGAATAACCTGATTCTGTGGTCGCCTTGTAATAATTCCCAGTGGGAAAGGCCAACTCAAGATAAAGTAAGGTCGGAGTTGAGAATTGTCCTCACTTTTCCTGCCTAACCCTCTCGGCAGGCGACCCCAAACTCCCACAAGAACCCTTCGGGTAAGTGCCGAGCTGGGGGAGCAAGCCATCCTCCAGCGACCAACCACCTGTGCGTGGTGGAGACCCCTGAGAGGGAGTTCTAATTAGAGTGGGAAGCAGCTCTGGGGAGGAACCCCCGAGACCAGGGCCGACACTGACTACTCACCCAACTCCACTCCCCTTTACGCCCAATCTTCGACCACCTTCTCGCTGAGGTCACCCCTACAGAAACCTCCGCCCCCAGACCCCGGTCTACACCCACATCCAGCCGTCCCCAAAGCTCGCTGTTCGCTCCTCTGCCTGACAGCTGCCCTGCCGCCACCAGGCAGCCCCAGCTTCCCCAAACCAGTCTTCCGGCCTCGGTGGCGCCCCAGGGCCGCGGGATTTAGGGATTAGGATCTGGAAGGGTTTGGTCCAATCCCCTCTCCCTCTCAGCGTACTGGGCTCACCTCCCCGGCAGCTTGGCGCTCCTCTTCCAAAACTGCTTGCTGTTCTCAGCGGCCATTGCTCTGGCAGGGGGAAGGCCTTGTAGGCGGGCCAAGGGGTTGCCTGGCGAGATGCCCCCAGACCCCGCAATCTGAGGGCCAACCCAGGCCGCTTCCCCGCCGCCGGTCACCCGCTCCCAGCTCCTGGGGACGCCATCTTGGATGTGGGCACCCCTCCACCCAGCACCGCTGCCATTGGTGGGCTGCGCAAGCCGTGGACGGGCCGACCAATCGGGAGCCGGAATCCTGCAGGCCGCTGAAGCCAACGGGTAACGTCAGGGTCTGGGCACACAGGTGGACGGGGAAGGCGGAGCTTGGACGAGCAGAGAGGCGGGGCTCAAAGTTCCTAACCCGCAAGAGGGAAGAAGCAGGCAAAGTAAGGGACCTATGGGAAGGAAGAGAGGGGATTATCTTCTTCGTGAGGAATGAAGTTCCTGGGTCTAATATTTTTTGGCAAGAGAGAGCATACTATGTATTTATATATAGGAATCTTTGACCTAAAAGTAAAGGCCCATGTGTTTGTTGTGGCCCATTTTTAACATCTCTCAACTCAATGACACTCTGGTTATTACCCTCCCTTCCTCGTTCCGTTTAGGTGTCCATTCGTTTTTCTGAAGGTCAGCAGGGACCCGATAGCCCGGGATTGCTAACTGCTCAACACGTGAGCAACGGTTCATCAGAGTCTCCCTCTCCCTCTGTTTATTGAAAACGATTGAAGGACTTGTGCTGTGGGTGAAAAATTCAAATGATCTAATCCCTATGTCAATCCATAACTCTCACTTTCTGACTATGCTAACGGTGTATAGGAAATGGTTTATCATAGCTGTCCAACTCAGATTACCAAATACGATTTCTTTGAAGGACACAGTATAGCTCCATCGTGTGAATCACAAAGTTAAGGATGTATCTCCTCCCGGCCCCACCAACAGCCTTAATTTCCCTTGTTAATCTGTTATAAATCTTGCACCCTTGAATTTATTTTCAATCTAATTTTCCCAGACAATGAGATTTAATATTAGCATTTTGAATCCTTTGAATGTCTTGTCGGTGTTTTTTGCTGTTTTTGAGTTTCTGTGGTTGTATTCCGTGGTGATTTGGGGAAAGAGGGAAAGCGGGCACCAGTCCAGAGTGGTTTTTGTCCTATCGAAGGACTGTTGAGGTGGGCTGCGTGTCCCCCACTCCCCCCCCCACCCTCCATTTACAGCTACCACATATACTTCCACATATTGGAGAATACATAAAGACCCGACCCCCGACGGGTATGTCCTCCAACGACGGTTTCTACATTACTCTCATTTTCAAGCTTCTTTTGTCCCCTAATTTTAGAATTATAGGATTGGATGACGAGGGCTATTTTTACTTCTTCTGAATCTTTCATGCTTTTATACACTTTCATCTTATTTTCTTCATGGGCATTTAACCCAGGAAAAAAAGAAAGAAAAAGTCCCTGTATTCTTTTAATCATTTTACCTGCCATTCTCTGGCACTTCTTTTTCTTAGGATGCAGTGACCAGCACTACACACTAAGCCCAAAGAGGGATGTACTGAGGCTTTGTTAAGGTTGATGTTTTGTCTTTATTCTGAACAGCCAGAACTTTTGCTGGCTGTTTGGGCTTTAGAAGAGTTGATGTCTTGAAGGAGTAATCTAAAACAACTTCTAGATTCCTTACCTTGGTGGCAACCAGCAGTTCAGAGTTCAGTGTCTTAAAGGTATCCTCTGGATTGTCTTCCCCTATGTGAGCTGCCATACACTCATCCATGTGACAAGATACCTGCCACTTTCCAGCTTACACACATGGTTTTAGAGATGTTCCAGAAACTGTTCCCTATTGATTTGACATTTTACTATGTAGAAAGCAAAGTATAATTTGTGTACCTAGAAATATCTCAAAATACTCCTTTTTCTTAATATTTTATGAAATGTTAAATAACACTGATTCCCAGGGGATGTTGTTAACAGTGCTCAACCCAGAGAAGCCCTATTATCTCTACACTTTGTTTTCTATATCAGTTTCCCCTCCAAGAGTTTTTAAAAATTCACACCAGTTACCTGGTGATGACTTTTTAAATAGTATTTGGTAGGGAAATTGAGATCGTTGGAACCTTTTTTACCACTACCAGTTGGTCACCCTAATCTTCACCAACCACACACCCGCTTACAGCAGCCTGCTATTCAGCTCCCTGCTTCCACTCTTACCCCATTACAGTACATTCCCCATATAGCAGCCAGAGAGACCTTTTTTTTTTTGAGACCAGGTCTTGCCCTGTCACACAAGCTGGAGTCCAGTGACATGATCTCAGCACACTACAACCTCCACCTCCCAGGCTCAACCAATCCTCCCACATCAGCCTCCTGAGTAACTGGGACTACAGGCACATACCACCATGGCCAGCAAATTTTTTGTATTTTTGTAAAGATTGAGGTTTCACCATGTTGCCCAGGCTGGTCTCGTACCCCTGAACTCAAGCAATCCATCAGCTTTGGCTCCCAGAGTGCTAGTATTACAGGTGGGAGTCATCACACCCAGCCCAGAGACACTCTGTTAAAATGTAGACCATATCATGTCACTCCTCTGCTCAAAACCTTGCAATGGCCCCCACTGTACTTGGCATAAAATCCAAGCTCCTTAAAGACCCTACATGACTTGGCTCCACTCACCTCTCCAGCCTCATCTCATTACACTTTCTGTCTTGCTTAATCTGCTCCAACCATGCCCATTGGTCTTATTGCTGTTCCTTGAACACTCTAAACATGTTCCTACTTCAAGGCCTTTGCATTAGCCATTTCCTCTGCTTGGACTTCTCTTCCCCTAAATGCCTTGCTTCCTCATTTCATGCAGGTATATACCCAACTGTCTTTACCTTGTAGAGACCCTCCCTAACCACCCATCTTAAATACTGGCTACACTGCTCTATTTTTCTTTTTCTTTCTTTCTTTAGTTTTTTGACACAAGGTCTCACTCTGTTGCCCAGGAGTGCAGTGGCATGACCACAGCTCACTGAAGCCTTGACCTCCTGAGCTCAAGCAGTCCTTCTATGTCAGCCTCCCAAGTAGCTGGGACCACAGTGCATGCTACCACACCCAGCTAATCTTTTTATTATTTGTAGAGACAGTCTCCCTATATTGCCCAGGCTGGTCCCAAACTCCTGGGTTCAAATGATCCTTCCTCTTCAGTCTCCCAAAATGCTGGGATTACAGGCATGGGCCACTGTGCCTGGCTCTATTTTTCTTTGAAGCGCTATCACTACAGGCCATATTATGTACTTGTTTGCTGTCCATCTCTATGCGCTAGAATAGAGGCCCCCTGTCTGTGTCCTGTTAGGAACCAGGCCACATAGCAGGAGGTGAGCGGCGGGTGGCATGCAATCATTACCGCCAGAGCTCTGCCTCCTGTCAGATCAGCAGCAGCATCAGGTTCTCATAGGAGTGTGAACCCTATTGTGAACTGCTCATACAAGGGATCTAGGTTGCACATTCCTTATGAGAATCTAATGCCTTGTGATTTGAAGTGGAAACGTTTCATCCTGAAACCCCCCTCCCGCAAAATTTTTGTGGAAAGGTTGGCTTCCATGAAACTGGTCCCGGATGCCAAAAAGCTTGGGGACTGCTGCCCTAGAATGTGAACCCCACTAAGACTGGGACTTTGTTTTGTTTCCTGCTGTATCCCCAGCACCTAGAATAGTGTTTGGCACATAGCGAGTGCTTAGTAAATGTTTACTGAGTGAAAGAAGGAAGAATATAAATATTTCTTGTCTTTGAATTCTATGTTGTTCACATATTTTTTTGTTAGGAAAGATGATAGAAACAGTGTTTCCTAACCCCTAGTAGGATATGTCCACTTCACCAATGATTCTACATCCTTGCCTACACTCTTGGTTGAGGAACAGTCTTCTCTGAGAAAGATTGTATTCTTCAAACTCTTTTGCAGCTTTAAAGGAATGTGCCTGTACCTGGAATGATGAGGGAGGGAGCCACCCACCTAGTCAGGAGATCAGTTGGTAGCTGTCATCAAAGGGCTGATAGCTATGACAGCCACTCTTGTCCAGCAAGAGGTGTAAACCATTGGTTTGAAGTTCCCGAGAGGTCCTTAGAGGCCTTCTGATGGAGATCCTTCTTGGCAGACATTCACTGGTCCACTAGACCAGTGCTTCCTATACTATATTGCACATGTGAATCACTGAGGATTATATTAAAAACCTAGATTCTGATTCAGCAGATCTGAGGTGAAGCCTACAACTCAGAATTTCTTTTTTTTTTTTTTGAGACGGAGTCTGGCTCTGTCACCCAGGCTGGAGTTCAGTGGCCTGATCTCAGCTCACTGCAAGCTCCGCCTCCCAGGTTTACACCATTCTCCTGCCTCAGCCTCCCGAGTAGCTGGGACTGCACGCACCCGCCACCACTCCCGGCTAGTTTTTTGTATTTTTTAGTAGAGACGGGGTTTCACCATGTTAGCCAGGATGGTCTCGATCTCCTGACCTAGTGATCCGCCCATCTCGGCCTCCCAAAGTGCTGGGATTACAGGCTTGAGCCACCGCGCCCGGCCACAACTCAGAATTTCTAACAAGCTCCCAGGTGACACTGATGCTGCTGATCTATAGACCTCACTTTGTAGCTCTTCTGTTACTAATATAGTATGGCCTGTGATTGTTGAATTTATCTCAAGAGTTTATTCTGAAACTATAAGTAGAGGCTTCTCAATATTGTTTACCTGCAACTTTTTACTTTTCCCCCCTTCAAATTCATCTTCATTCAAAAGAGGGTTAAACAACTTAAAATGGGGCAAACTATAGTTAAGGGATGAGATATGCCTGGGTTGACTGTGGACTCAAAAGAGGTAGGCATATCCCAACCCTTAGAGAAAGTTTTATGAGAGATAATCCTTGAGTAGGGACAGAAAAGGAAGGAGAAAGGCCTGAAGAAAGTGACTATAGGAGGAAAGTCACTTCAGGACAGGAGCTCCAATGGGAAGATAAAAATAGAGAAAAAAACCTTTGGACTTACAGAGAGATCACTGGCAGACTTTAACCTTAGCAAAGGAGTGAAGTGGAATGAAGGAAGTAGACACTGTGATGAGGGGAAGGGTTAAGAAAAGAGAGCAAGAAGCAGCCCTCACAATGCACTGTGCAATGTTGGGCCACCTAAGAGATAGTGAGGTCAAGCTGGGATTTAACAGCAAGAGAGCTTTACAGTATCTTAACGACCACTGTAAGAGCCAATGCAGAGATCAGTTATATTAGAGAAGGCAAGGGGATAAGCAAAAAGACTGAAAAAGCAAGAGGTTATAGGAATAGAGGAAGAGAGAGTTTTCAGAATTTGGGGGTGAAGGGAAAACTAGGTATTTCATTCCTAAGAATTTATTCTAAGAAAAGAAGTTG